CTCTCTCTCTCTCTCTCTCGCGCGCGCGCGCGCGCGCGCGTACACACACACACACATACATACACTAAAGAAATAAAATATAATAATAGTTTTAAAGTTAAGGTAGGACTGGCAAGATGGCTCAGTGGATAAAAGCAATGGCTGCCTAACCTCCAACCTGAGTTTGATCCTGGGACTCAAATGCCAGAAGGAAAGAAGCAACTCCTGCAAGCTGTCCTGTGACCTCCATACACTGACGCGTCTTCTTCCTCCCCAACCCACAAAATGAAAAATAAAACTTCAAAAAGCTAATATAAAACAGGTCAAACAAAAATAAATGTTATCTGGGTGTGGAGGCATATATCTGTACTACTAATACATGAGGGTCTGAGGCAGGAGGACAGGTAATTCAAGGCCGGCCTGTGCTCCATAGGGGGACCCTGTCTGGAAAACACAAAATCAAAACAAAAGAGCAAACAAACAAAGACCAGGTAAATTGACACACACCCATAATCCCAGGAATTAGGAGGCTGAAAGATGGGGCTCCCAAGTTTGAGGCCAGCCTGGGCTACATAGTGAAACACTGTCTTTAAATCTTTTACATTTGTTTTTGTTTTTGAGACATGGTCTTATGTAGTTCGGGGTGGCCTTGAAATTGAACTCTATGCAGCTGAGGATGACCTGATCCTGACCCTCTTGCTCCATCTCCTAGGCAGTGGTATTACAGATTGTGCACCTTGATGCCTTTTTAAAAATGAAAAATATATTAAAACCTAGTATAAAATAGGAAACAAAAGTGGGGGTAGGCTGTATTCAGAGAGCGCTAGTTACTAACATGAGAGAAGGGCCTGCTCTGCCACTCCACTTGGTCTGGACAGGATCATGCTGGGGTTCTGTGTCTGGTTCTACTGTGCCTAGAGAGGGTGTTGGAAAAAAATGTAGAGTGGCCTATCTGGCAAGACGATCCCAAGCCATACTTTGATTCTGCTCTGGGTGCTAAACTCTGAGGGATACCAAACCATGCTACTAACCAACCATCTTTGCTTTGCTAAGGCAGCTCACCTTTGAGCCTCTAATCACAGCAGTTGCCCCTTTCTCGAAGGATCCCATGTCCCAGACTACCCTGAGCTCATTAAGTAGCAGAGGGAAGCCTGTGATCTCACTTTCAGAGACCTGGTGTGAGAACAAATCATGAACCCAAGAGGTGTGGCCATTTGAGTCACCAGTTTTTTTTTTTTTTTTTCTCCAACTCTCTGTGAACCCTGATGCCAAAGGACAGATCATACAGGATGTTGCTTGGGTTGTGTCCAGTAACAGGGGTCTCCAACAGCTGGAATCATCCCTGCCCAGCTGTCTTTGGGCATCATTTGCCTTTGCCAACTTTCCTATTAGTTGGATTCAGACTGTGGGAACCCAGTGGCACATGATGATGGAACAGATATTTCTAAACCTTCTCCTGAATCCCAGCCAGCATGAAAGGGGAGCGAAAACAAGCCATTTTCATATTTTCCCAGCTCCAGCTGGACAGGGGTGTTAACAGCAGAGCGTTGAGGCAAAGTATTAAGTAGACAAAGTTTGTCATCGGTTCTCACCCCTTCGAGGCCCAGGACCTCCGTCTCCTCTGCCTCATCTTGACCTGCCCACCTCATGCTCTGGCATTTTCTCGACAGTTTCCAGACTCTTCTTACACCTCCCTCCCCAGGGCCTCAATCAAAACGGATCTATCCTGGGCCCCAGTGTTTCAGGACCTTGCTAGATGACTGGCTAATGTGTCATTTAATCTGGTTCCCTCAGCCATCCTGTCAGACCATCAGGGCCAAGACAGTGCTGCCCTGGCCCTCGGCCAAATAAGAACCAGATCGCTCAAAACCCAAACCAGCTGCAGCAGCCTGCTCCATCCCACCTGGCAGGAGGCCTCTCCTCCAGTCTGGCTCCCCAGCCCAGCTCTGTTAGTCCACAGGTGCCCCTCAGGAATGTCAGGCTCCCTATGAAGCTCATGTAAATGCCACCAGCCAGGCGGGGACTGAAAGACTCCTGGCTACTGACTGCAGATGGAGAACAGGGAGCATGTGCAGTGCCAACAGGTTATTATTTGGAGTCGGGGCTGCACTTGGGCTCAGCCTGACTTGTTTAGAACACATGGATTCCAGGGTAATCCTTGGGGGCCCTGCTCTCCAATTACAACAAATAGCTATTTACTTTACATGGCCTTCGGAGACTCCCTCCTCCCCCCAAGCAGAAATCTATAATATTTTATATCTTAAGTCTGGCCTACTTTACCCTGCTGGAATGTTGACTGCTAAAGCACTTATGGAATGTTAAAGTTTCGATTTATTGAATACTCTGGCTGATTAACTCAAATGTGGAGGGCGGAGAGTGTGAGCAAACTCAAACACCACCTCGTCCTGTGCCAAATGCTAAACCGAGTAAGAGTGTGTTTGAAAGTTGGCAGGGGAGGTTATGAAGAGACAGCTTTGACCAGTTATCATTTCCTTTACAGGAAATACACGGATCTGCCAAGAAATCAAGGAAGGAGGAAAGGGAAAAGGTGATGTGGAGGTGGTCTCAGGAAGTTTGTTTTTTCTAAAAGGCCAAACCCAAACTGAAGCAGTCAGTTAAGCGGCAGTGCAAACATCCCCTCCTCCGCCAGCTTCACTTCCTCTGGTTTCTCCTTAAACTTAACACCCTTAGCAGGTATGGGAGATGAAAAGAAATCAAGATGCGTCTTTAGGGAGGCAATTAAAGACCACTTATCCCAAGAGCCTATTACTGATTTATGTTGACCTTGTAGATTATTGGGCTCAGCTTAGGCAGAGTCAGACAAACATAGCAGCTGGGAGAAGTGCCCAAGTTCACCAATTTCATTACCCCCACCCCACATTTCACCATCATTTCAGGCCTTTGCTTTTACACATATACATATAAACACACATGCACATATATGCACTTCCTTTATGTATGAACCAGTCCAATATCTTTAGGTTCTTTCTGGGAGCCTCTGAGTTCAGGGTGGGAGTCCCATTCCTTAGGAAGAGGAACAAAAGGGGACTTCTAAATCACAAGTGATGGAAGGGAAAGAAGCCAAGTTAACACTCCCTCTTCTCCCACCCCACCTCATCACCCTTTTGAGGACCTGCTGCAAGTTTATACAGACACCTGCACCCCTCCATTACCCCTCCCAACCTACTGTACTCCAGCTCTCGTTGAGTGCATTTTTCCAAGATGACACAGACCTCATTAGGGTTCCTGCCTGCTCCCAGCAAGGAAGACCAACCCTGGTCCTAGTTGTTTGCTATGCTTGGCCTTAGGCTGCCCCCTCCTCTGCTCCCCTTTTCTTTTCTTTCCTTTCTTTTGTTCAAAACTGAGCACTCCAGATGCAGCTCTAGAAAAGCATGTAGAATGGGAAGATGGGAAGGATGGGGGGGGGGGAAACGAAGCATGTCCCGCTTGAGGGTAGTCGTAGAAAATACCCTTCTTGCATTACAGGGACCTTGGGAGGAAGCAGAGGACATTGAAAGATGGAGGAGACAAGGTGACTGTCACAGCACCTGCTTGATGGCTTAATAGAGAATAGGAAATTGAAAATAAAAATGGCAAATTATTGAAGAGGAAACAGAAAGCTAAAGATTTCTATCGTGGATCAAGGTTTATATTAATCGCATAATTAGTTCTGAATGTAGGCAGGCAGCTGGGTGCTCTGAACAGTCTGTATAGTTCCGGGCAGGCGGAGGCAATCCCACTTTGGAGATTAGACATTTCCTGTCCTGGGCTCAGGGGACACCTGTTTCTGGGGTTGGCAGTGGGCTCAGGATAGTTTTCTCACGTGGGCAAGGAGTTAGTTCTAGGCAAAAGATGCCCAAGCCTTGTGTCCTTCTGTGATGGGTGCCGCGAGTTTTTCCTAGATTCTCAGGTAGCCGGTTTATGCCATGCTGCCTGGACTGGCTCCTGCCCTGCCCTGAGCCATCCCAAGGATGGCCTGTGCCATGGCTACAGGGTCCCGGCCGGATAAAAGTGATCCGGGTGCGGGTCGCCAGCCACCACGCCCGTGGGCCCCGAAGGCTCCTGCTCTGGGTGATCAGCTGCCATGGGCCTGCCACCCTCGAGGTTCCGCCAGCCTTAGTTCCCTTGCCTCCTAGGCAAGGATTCCCACTCTTCTCCTGGCTCCACCTGCTTCCATCAGAGGCCCGACGTTGGGGTTCTCACAAGGAGCCCCTAGGTCCCGAAGGAGGGAGGGTGGAGCGGGTGGGAGAGGCCGCACCGCGAGGCGCCTCCGCCCCCTCCGGGGAGAGTCGCGGGGCATGGGGGCCCCAGGGTCGCCGCGAGGCTAAGGGCCCTGCCACTGCGTCCCGCCCCGACGGGTCCGGACAGCACCCGGCCCAGGGAGGCTCAGCGGGCCCCCCTGCGCGACATCCCCAAGCCGTCGGCTCCCCCGTACGCGGTCCACCCGCCTCCCTCTCCTCCCGGCTGCGTCCTCACCGAAGCGGCTGTGGTCGTGGCGGGTGCCGTGCACGGTGCCATTGGGGAAGATCTCCAGGTGGAAGCCGGTGCGGCAGTAGAGCTGGCGGCGCCGCAGGATACCCTTCAGGTGGGCGAAGTCTGTGGGCGAGCCGCGCTGCAGCTTCCCCTCGATCTGGCCCAGGCGCTCGTTCAGAAAACCCGGGGAGTCAGCTAAGGGCACGTTCCCCAGAGACGAGGAGAAGCCGTGCAGGTCCCAGTCCAAGGAGGCAAAGACGCCCCCCACCTCCGCCATGACGGGGCTGGCGGCGGTGCGGGCTGAACCGGGGCCGCGGGGCGCGAACTGCCTCTCCCCGCGGCAGGCGCGGGCGGGTCGGCGGCGCTCGCTCGCTGCGAGGCTCCGTGCTCTGCCCAGCTGCAGCACACGTCTGTTCGCGTCCAAAGAACTTCTTAGCGGCTGGGAGCGTGGGGCAGCGCGCTCCTGACCTTGCTCTCAGTTAAAGTGCGGCTTCCCCTCCGCATCCATCTCTCCTGGCCTCTCATAGCTGGCTTCGAGGAGCTATCAGATGCAAACGGCACTTTATATACGTACCCACTCCCCTTCCATTGACATATTGGATATTTAAATACAAGCCACACCTCACTGGCATCCCCTCAGAGATTGGTGTGTGGGTTCTTTCCTTTTTTCCCCCCTTCTCGTATCCATTTGGCTCTTTTTGGGAGAGGGGGTGGAGGGGGAAGCGAGAGAGCTTCACTCCCTCTTTTATTATGAAAAAAAAAAGGCAGGAAAAAGCTACACATTGCAGTGAGGCATAACTGCTTTTGGCAGGATTTCTTAAACTGCTGATGAAATAACGGAGTCCAGTACGTGGAAGCCATCGGCGCCCACGGCCACGCAGGCCGGTTCCGCGGGGGTCTGCTTGTTGGTCTGCTGCAAGGGCCATCCCCACCTCCCATGCATACTCTGGTTGCTCCCCTCGGGAAAGTGCCTGAGACTGGGGCTCTGGGAGGGCGTCCTCGAGCCGCTGAGCCCCTCTTCTCTGGCTCTTAAGAGACTGCGGAAGGGGTATCTGGCCCGGGACAGGGGTGCTCCGGTTCCTTTGTTCTGCTGTCCCATAGTCCCACTCCCCACCTGTAGGTCCACAGGGGCTGAGGAAGCGAAAAAGATCCTGAAGCCGAATGCAGTTGCAACAGTAAGGACTGAGAGGTGGTGAAGGTCCCTACAGACACCAAAACGGAGGGGGGGGGGGTCCTTAAGGGGTTTGAGAGGAGCGGGAAACCCCAGAAGGGAAAGAAGACTTTTAAAAAGACGCTGTGATTTAGGCATAGAAACCGGGGTGTGTGTGTGTGGGGGGGGGTTGAGAAATAGAAAGCGATCTTTTTGAAAAATGATCTCCATGGCTTTCTGGACGCACTTTTACAAGGCTCAGGAGAGCAAGCTCGGTGAGAAGCTGTTGGAAGCCGGGTGGGGGCTTCCCCCCACCTCTTTTCTTGTTGGAAACAGGTGTTTCCTCGCTCTGTCCTGTGCCCTGTTCCAAGATATTCTATCAGGAAGAGCTGCAGTCGGGGTGGGAACTGGCGGTAGCCAGGACGACAGGCTGGGTGGAGAGGACCTGGCAGGCAGGTGCCTGCCTGCCGTGAGCCCCTGCTTCTCTGCCCCGCACCTGAACCCCACGGTCCCTCTGGGGCTCTGGCGCTTGGCCTCCTTCTTGCCTATTAAATGGCGTTGTTGCTTGCAGTTTTCACACGCAGCAGGCGCTGGCCGCCTTCCCAGGTTCCTGTAGTGACTGAACCCCCAATTCTACCCTTCCGCGCCTTTGCTGCGCCTCCTGCTGGAGACCCCACCGAGCTGCAAGTTCAAATTCAGGGTTACCATAAAAATGAGTAAACAAGATTCCCCACAACTCAGTGCAATTCGAGGCCCTTCTCTTAAGCTCCCATGTGCGCTCTGTGCTCACTTCCTGTAGCAATTCTCAGTTTGGAATAACATTGTGGCTTGGCCCTGCTCTGCCTCTTTAGCTCAGAGGGAACCTCCAGGGCCAAGTACAATGCCTGACACATGTAGGCACTCAAAAGTAATATTATGCTCTCAGTAACAGAGAACACAGATGCAAGTTACCACCCAGTTATAGTGGGCCCACGAATACAAACGGTGGCTTCCAGAGGTTGGAGAAATGGCTCAGTGCTGACGAGCGAGTGTTTCACTTGTAGAGGACTCAGGTTCTGTTCCAGCCACCCGCATTGGTTCATAGATTCTTGTAATGCCAGCACCAAAGCATCAGATGCCCTCTTCTGGTGTCCACAGGCACCCATGCACATGTGCACAGGCACATATGTACACATAACTTTTAAAAAATTAAAAACACATTTAAAAGGGTGGAGTCCATGTTAGAATACATATAAAAGAAACTACAGGCCCTCTTGGATTACTTTTAAAGTATTCCAAGTAAGAACTTGGTGTGGTGGCTCCCACCTGTAATTCCAGCCCTTGTGGAATTTAGAGTGAAGCCAGCCTGAGATGCACAGCAAGAACCTCTTTCAAACGAAGGAAGGACTGAACCAATAAGAAATTATCCAAAGTGCTGAACACAGTAACTCACACTCCCAGTCTCAACACTTTGGAGGAGGCAGGAGGATCAGGAGTTCAAGGCTAGACTGGACTTTGATACCCTGTTCCAACAACAATAAAACAAGGGTTTATGGTGAAGTGTAGATTCATGAAGCAGAGAGGAGGGAGAGAGGGAGTGAGTGAGGGAGAGAGAGAGAGAGAGAGAGAGAGAGAGAGAGAGCGAGAGCGAGAGCGAGAGAGAGAGAGAGAGAGAGAGAGAGAGAGAGAGAGAGAAAACTTATCTAGGTAGGGATCCTGGACCCATTCTGGGCTAAGGTGATTTTTGTAATGAATGGGCCCTGAGGCACATATGGGAAGAATCTTTTGCAGGGTCAGAAGGACCACTTCCAAAATAGAGAAAATGGAACAATTTTAATTGTTAAAAAGTAATTCTTGAAGATTTTAATAAGTGTCAAATAAAAAAAATAGATGAAACAACTCTGATAAGCACACACTATAAAGAATGTAGATGTTTATGATGAAATAAATCATACATTTTTACATGTTTTTCTTTTATCAAACATAGATTCTTTTCTTATGCAGTATATCCTGATAACAGTTTCCCTTCTCTCTACTCCTCCCAGTTTTCCCTCCCCTCTCCTCTCCTCTGGATCCACTCCCTTTCTGTCTGTCATTAGAAAAGAACAGGCTTCTGAGAGACAACAACCAAATAAAACAACATATAATAAAATGAAGCGAAAGCTAGCATATCTAAGTTAGATTCGGCAACCCAACAGGAGGAAAAGAGTCCCAAGAGCAGGCGCAAGAGTCAGAGACCCACTTGTTCTCAAAGTCAAGAGCCCCATGATGACTCACGCATTAATACCAGCACTTAGGAGGCAGAGACAGTTGGATTTCTCTGATCTTGAGGCTATCCTGGTCTACAGAGTGAGTTCCAGGACTGGATTCATAACTACTGGGAAACCCTGTTTCAAAAAAAACAAAACAAAGCAAAAGAGTCTCATAAAAATATTAAGCTAATAGTTATAACATATATGCAGAAATGCAGACCCATGTAGGCTCTGTGCTTGTTGCTTCAGTCTCAGTGAACTCATATGTACCTTGCTTAGATGATTCAGAGGGCCTTGTTCTCCTGGTGTCCTTCATTGCTCCTGGCTCTTACACTTTTTCTCCCTCCTCTTCCATGGGATTCCCTGAGCTCTGGGTGGAATGAATTGATGGAGACCTCCCATTTAGACTCTCTCTATACATATAATGTCTGGCTGTGGGTCTCTGCATCCATTCCCATCTGCTGCTGGAAGAAGCCTCTCTGATGATGGCTGGATATATATACACAAATAGCAGAATATCATTAGAAATTATTTTATTGATTTTTTTCTAGAATTTCAAAAATTACATTGATTTTTATTGATTTGGTTTTACCCTAAGTCTCTGGGCTATCCAGTTTCTGGTTCTTGGTCCCTCAAGCAGTGTTGGGTAATGGGTTTCTTCTCGTGGAGTGGGCCTTAGGGTCAAATTAGACATTGATTGGCTACTCCCACAACTTCTGTGCCACCATTGCCCTAGCATATTATGCAGGAAGGACAGATTGTAGGTCAAACGTTTTGTGGTTGGGTTGGTGTCCACATTTATCTCTCAGTAGCTTACAGAGTACCTTCCTGTACCAAAGGGACTAGAGTGTAGGGGTGAGGGCTTCATGCAGGCACCAGTTCGACTTCTTCATGCTTAATGAGTTTGTGTGTGCGTGTGTGTATTGTCTTCTGCAATGGGGCCCAGTGTCAGTTTTCAGAGAGCAACCTTCTTTCTTAGCAACAGCCTGGGTTGTTTGGGAATTTCCATGGAACCCCCGTGGCCAACAACTCACCTGAATACATCCTAGTTCTGCTACAGGAAGCTTAGCCTTGCAACAAGAGATCCCCATTACTAGGAGTATTTATTAGGATCACCTTCATACATTCCAGGAAGTTTCCACTGCACTAGGTTTCCACCCCCTACTTGTCCACACAATTCCAGCCATCTCTCCCTACTCTCTCTCTCCACCCCATCTTCCCACCATCTGATCCACCATTCCTGTTCTGGCCCCATTCCCAGTCAACTAGTAAAGTCTATTCTATTTTTCCCTCCCAGGGATACCTCTGAGTGCCCCCTAAATCCCCCTCTTTACCTAACCTCTCTGGGTCTACAGATTGTAGCTTGGTTATCATTCATGTAACGGCTATTATCCCCTTATAAGTGAATAAGTACCATATTTATGTTTCTGCATCTGGGTTACCTTACTCAGGCTGTTTTTTTCTAGTTCCACCTATTTGTCTTCAGACTTCATGATGCCATTTTTTTTATATCTGAGTGATATTCCATTGTGTAAATATATACCACAATTTGTTTATCCATTCTTTTTTTGAGAGACATGTAGGTTGTTTCCAGTTTCTGGCTATTAATAAAGCTGCTATGAGCATTGTTGAACAAGTGTCTTTGTGAAAGGATAGAGAGTCCTTTGGGTATATGCCCAAGAGTGATATAGGTGGAACTTGAGGTAGATCGATTCCCAGTTTTCTGAGGAACTGCCATATTAATATTCATAGTGGTTGTACAAGTTTGCACTCCCACCAGCAATGAAAGAGTGTTCCTCTTGCTCTACATCTTCACCAGCATAAACTGTCACTTGTATAATTGATCTTAGCCATTCTGGCAGGTGTAAGAATGTAGTGATATTTCATTTGTATTTTAATAAATAAAGTGTGACTGATGATCAGAACACAAAACAACCACACTAGTCAGCCATACAGGCCAGGCAGTGATGGCACACACAGCTTTAATCCCATCAGCCACACTAGTCAACCATACAGGCCAGGCAGTCATGGCACACACCTTTAATCCCAGCAACCACATTAGTTAGCCA